CCCACAGAATTCATTAAAATTCTAATTTAAAAGTCTTGCAAAATCCATTAAAATCCTGATTTTAAGTCTTGTAATCCTGCAAAATCTTAAAAGTCATGAAAATCCTGCAAAATCTTTTAAAATCTGCAGGATTTTTTTAGTTAAAAGAGTTCTTTAAAATCCTAATCCAATACATTAAGAGGATAAGATATTATGGAGAATTATTATTATTATTATTATTATTATTTGTCTAGATATTATTATTTTTTATTATTTTTTTCTTTGATTCTTTTTGAATTTGAATGTATGAAATTTTTTTGAAATTTTATCAAATGTCAAAAATCCACGAAAATTCTACAAAATCCACAAAATCCCACAGAATTCATTAAAATTCTAATTTAAAAGTCTTGCAAAATCCATTAAAATCCTGATTTTAAGTCTTGTAATCCTGCAAAATCTTAAAAGTCATGAAAATCCTGCAAAATCTTTTAAAATCTGCAGGATTTTTTTAGTTAAAAGAGTTCTTTAAAATCCTAATCCAATACATTAAGAGGATGAGATATTATGGAGAATTATTATTATTATTATTATTTGTCTAGACATTATTATTTTTTATTATTTTTGTCTTTGATTCTTTTTGAATTTGAATGTATGAAATTTTTTTAAAATTTTATCAAATGTCAAAAATCCACGAAAATTCTACAAAATCCCACAGAATCCATTAAAATTCTGATTTAAAAGTCTTGCAAAATCCATTAAAATCCTGATTTTAAGTCTTGTAATCCTGCAAAATCTTAAAAGTCATGAAAATCCTACAAAATCTTTTAAAATCTACAGGATTTGTTTTAGTTAAAAAAGTTCTTTAAAATCCTAATCCAATACACTCCCCTTATGTTGTGCCTTTAATTTATAACATTTGTATTTGTATTAGATAGTTCTGGAAAAAACACAAGGAATCTTATTAAAAATTTTGGAGACCAGCCATAATACGCATGACTAAGGATCCATTTAATACACATTGAAGGACGTGACAAGTAGAATAATATGTAAGAACTAGTTGACTCACATTACAATTTTTTGTGTAGTATGTTACTTGATACTCGATGCACGACACAAACAAGAGAATAATTAAGAGAAAAACATGCGAGAAAGGAAAATGCAAGAAGTGAGAGCTTAAGGACATGCCAAAGGAAAGGAAGTGGGAGCGTAGGAGAAAGGGATTACACGGACACTATGGATTTTAATTTTATCATGGACTAGATAAAAAATCGAAGCGTGACAAAATGATTTATAAGTTTTTATACTTTTATTTTGTCTTTCGTTATTTATTTTGTTTTGTCCATAACAAATTTAAAAATCAAACGTGACAATTAGTTTTGTCCTATCTTGTCTCTTTTTTTCTCAAGTAAATAAAGTTGCTAAACACATGTTTGTAAAGGCATAGCAATCTAACCCGCGCTCGTGGGTACCCGCCCGAACCCATCCCGATTTAGATGGGGAAAACTCGTGTTTATCGAGTTCGGGTTCGGATTCGAATTTTCTCCGATTGATAAAATCGGGGGCAGGGGCGAGGACGGGGATGTTAATACCCATCCCGCCCTCGCCCCCATACCCGCCCCCGCCCCCGCCCCCGTCCCGCTTAATAATATAATTAAAAAATTATTT